TCAGTAAAATCACCATAAAATAAAGCAGAGAACTAAAAGTTGCTTGAAATTATCTTTTATTTTTTTTCTCAAGGGCAAAAGTTGTACAGATTTTGTAAATACTATAAGTGTTTCACATTGAAATCCACCATCTCTTTAGCAAAGCTTAAGATCATATCATATTATTTGTTAATTTGCATCTGTCAAGGAGATTAGTTGTGATTTGCTGTAATATTATTTGTAGCTTTTTTTTTTTACTGTGTTCTTTGAAACTGGCTCACATCATTTTTTTTCTTATCTTTGTTTTTAGTTTCAGAAGCCACTAATGACTCGACAATAGATGATGTGGTTGAAAATCACGTTGCAGACCAACTTTCATCAGATATTACACCAAATGCTATGGATACTGAATTTTCACCTTCTTCCCCAGCCAATCTACTGGAACGACCAACCAATCATACAGAGGCTCTTGGTCATGACCATTTAGGAACTAATGACCTCACTGTTGGTGGATTTTTAGAAAATCATGAGGAACCAAGAGATAAAGAACAGTGTCCTGAAGAGAATATACCAGCATCTTCACTCAACAAAGGAAAGAAATTGATGCATTGCAGAAGCCATGAAGAGGTCAACACTGAACTAAAAGCACAAATAATGAAAGAAATCCGAAAGCCAGGAAGAAGTAAGTATAATTAGAGGCACACCTCATATTTGACTTCTGTGTGTGCTCAAAGGAGAGTCAAATTAACTAAAAACATAGATCTGATTCTAGATCAGTGCTGAACAATGTATGAGCTATATAAGATTTGGTTGTTTATTCAGCCTACAAACACTAAATATCTGCTACATCCAAAGTATTATAGTGTAGTTATGGTAAGCAGGAGGGGCTGAGAGCAGAGCTTAAAGAACACACAGATAAATTGCACATAGTTCCTACCATGACAGGAACCTGGAGTCCTGAGTATTTTTCTACATAGCAACTGCAATTGAATGTAGCAGCAAACCCAAAAAGATGGAGTGAATATTAGATGACTTCATATCTGTGAAGTTCCTGGCATAGTGTCTACCACTGCCTTTAAGGTTTAAACTATGATAGTGACCAGGGATATGTTTAGGCCAAAAAACAGAAGTTATAGAAGCTGTCTATTTCATGAATACTAAAGAACTTTGTGGGATAAAATTTCAATATTATTGGCATTCATTCAAAAGATGTTGACAAATCACCTGCTGTGATGATACAGTTCAGAAGTGGGTAAGACAGCCCTTGCCATTTAGGAGCTTATAGTCCTTGGTAGGGTTTTAGGTGAAAACTTAAAACTGAAATAGCACTTGTACCCATCTCCCCCCGTCCCCCATCTGCCCCTCCCTACCATGGGAACTGTAGTTTAGAATTTGAATTATAAGAATGGAGGAGCCTTGCTTCTTTGTCAGTGGCACTATCAGAGAGCTCTTATTTTTCTAAGCTTTATGTTTGATACCTTCATGGGAACTTCTACCAAGAATGCAGTTTAACAAGTTATTTTATCTTTGCTGATATATGATGAAATGTATGTATTATAAAATTCTTAGTGGTGAAAATTTTACATAGAATGTCTTGGTTTCTGTAGTATATCTTGATATAGTAAACTGCAGTAGAAAAATATTGAATAAGAGTGTGTAGAAAAGCCACTTAATTTTTTCTTTTTGCTTCTCTTGTTTTAAGAATATGAAAGAATCTTCACATTACTGAAGCATGTGCAAGGCAGTTTACAAACAAGACTAATATTTTTACAAAATGTCATTAAAGAAGCATCAAGGTAAATAATCTATTGCACATTTTGAAATGATTATGAAATGAGTCCCCAGATTACAGTCAGTATTTTAATAATCTCTATTTTGTACTTGTGGTATCATGCATATATATGACACACCCATGTGTATATAAGTTCTTTTTTTTTAGTTTTTTGAAAGAATTCACTTAAAAAACAGCCACACAAATTCTTCACCAATTATGGACCTTTTCTCCCTACAGATTACAGATACTTGCATAATTCTCATTTATCCTACTCTATGGCTTTTTGGGGGTCTTTATATTTTATAGCCTTTAATTTTTCTCCTTTGTATATTTGGACTATAGTTAATATTAATCAGTGATTAGAAATAACCTTGAAAGACAATATTTGGATGCAGTTCATTTGTACGTAGGAAAACATGTAATTAAGGGGAGCAGAGTTGGACAAATGGGCCTTATTCTGATTGCTTCAGTAGCCCAGGATTATGTACTTTAATACAAAGAATGTGGATCAAGATTATGAAGGGTAACTATGAAGTGCAATTAACTGGAAAGCATACTTGTATGAGTTTAGGGAGCACAGAAACATTTATTTTTCTTTTAAGACTTCTTTAGTATTCTAAGAAAACTTAGTGCTATCTGACCTTCTAAATATACCCACCCTCTAATAGTCCCCCAGTTTCTTCCATGCTACGCATAAAGGTATTTTTAGATAGAGCAGTTAATTTTTTTCCTTTTTTTTGGAGTGGCTAGAGCATAGTCCACTTTGAAGGTTCAAGATAAGGCCATAACTTTTCATGTTATTTATTTTGAGTATTTAACCTATTCTTTTCTTTATGTAACATTCTGTCAACTCAAACTTCATCATGGATTTAGCTATATTCCTGGTGCCTGCCCTCTACTTCTGCCACCTTTTAGAGAGATGTGTAATATTATGGTGGTTATTCATATGAATTTACAAGTAGAGAGGAAGTGGGTATAGATTGGACAGCGTTTTTGGATATTCTAAAAAGCATCAGCAGTATGAGTACTTATGTAGATGAATGCAGTTTTATTCTACTGTATTAGTGAAAAAAATTTCAAGTCACCACTTGAACTTTAAATGTTTGGTATAACCTATACCACAGGTACCTAATTATCCTTGATTTGCTAGCTTTCAAATTATAATAGTAGAACCCAAGGGTTTTTTAATGCTACCATGCAACTATTCATTTCTTCTTCTGTTTTGTGGGGATTATATTCATACTTTTTTCACATTCCTTTCAACATTCAACTTTTAAAAAGCATCAGAAGCTATTGGAGTCATTGCTTTGGGAGTCCAAATTTTGTTGGAATATTTGTAACCATTGTAAATGTTAGGGGTTTTTTGTTTTTCATTTTGGATGTAGAACAGATAACTTGCTTCTTTTGTACCGGGCCTGGATTATTTGTTTTAGGAACAAACTGTAATTCTGCATTGATAAAATAATTTGCTTATTTTCCAGTGAATTTTATATATCATAAAGTTGTTTTTTCATTTTCATTTTCCTTTGAAAAATCTTCCCAAGGCAGTTTCTGTCTTTGAAAAACAAAACAAAACAAAATTATACTGATCTATATCCATTAAAAAGAAATTGAGAGTGCTATTACTTATTTTTTTTATACAGGTTTAAAAAACGAATGCTAATAGAACAACTGGAGAACTTCTTGGATGAAATTCATCGAAGAGCCAATCAGATCAACCATATTAATAGCAATTAAAAGAAAACAGAATGTGGCCACTTATTTCACTATCTTCTCCAAATACAAAGTAAATACAAGACTGTTGTGATCTTGCATTCATTTTTTGACATGCATTGTTGGCTATTTGAAATACTAAGAGCAAGTCTACAGATCCTTTTTCCATCATTTTACAGTGACCTTTTCTTCATTTTGGTTTATTTTTGTAATGTGAAAAATATCACTCTAAAACACATTTTTATTTAACAAACTAAAAATATTCCTCCAGATCTCTTGCTTGTCATTGACTCTTGCGTGTCAATTTCCCTCAGGTTCTATTTTCTTAAACCAACCTTTAAAATTGTCACCTCTGTTAAGGTTGAACTTTGCCAAAAAAAAAAAAAATAAAAAAGAAGTTACTTTGTAATTTTTGGGGAAAAAAAGCACATACATTAAAACTAGGTAATGTTTTGTATATACAGTTATTTTGGATATATTATTGTAAGTTGTACAAATGTATTTTGAAGAATATTTAAGAAAAGCACTTTTGTTATTCCATCAATAAATGCTCTATTTTACTCTTGTGTGGTTTAGGAAATAATCACATTTAAAGTAATCATTTAAAACCATCTTAAGGTAATGGAATTTTAAAGGCCTTGCTTTTTAAGCATTGGAAAAATACACCACTTGAAGTTCATATTTGTTAAAGCTAACTGTAATTACCTGTTACATAACCTGCATTGTCTTTTTACTCTATGTTCTTAGATTTTGTTGGCCACACCAACATATTCCCATTTCTGCCTAGATAATAGAAATGACGGTATCTGGGGCAAATAGGCAGACACTTTAAAAGCTGTTTAAAAGCAGACATCTTTAATACTGGTTTCTTTACTCCCAACACTGTTTCCTTTCTCACTAGGATTGTGGATGGCACTAAGTTGAAGCTGTTAGTTAGGGAGTTGTAAGTTTGGAGGGCATCACATACTCTGAAATGTCTAGTCTTTAGCAGCTTGATGCCATGCTTACAAAAGTCCCACAACAAATTGGGGGTTCAAAGGGGATCTCTTTGTTCTCCTCTGCTATCCTTATACATATAAACTCCATTTTGTTTAGAGGCTAAATGGAAAGCAAACATTTAAGATGACTTTGCTCATTGTGCATTCCCCCTGAGTTACCCAGGATAAGGAAAAACCAACACTGTTCACTGTCCACTCTCAGTCCAACATGACCTCACGTGTCTTCACTGAGGACATGACCCTATGACCAGACTCACTCACTCACCTTTCATAGATCACTGCTGTGCCTTGTAGTGCTTTTGGGTAGAAAGGAAGGTTAAAATACATTTAGATTAAAAGAGGGCAAAATAAATTTATAAAATTGTAGTAAAATTGATGAACTTTTAGTTTCGTAATATTTGAAAATCACATACCCTTATCTTTTTACACTTTAGCAGAACCTTTTTAAAATTTCAAGGGTATAGCAGAATGCAATTGTAACTTTTTATGAAGAAAAGCATAGATGAAAGTGGAGAACATGCTTGAGATCTCTTAATTTAGTCTAGGGGATTTGAAACTCTCCCAATGCTGAAGACAAATCCTGTTGAGAAAAAGAGGCATTTAATGTAACGTTACATAGTATTTTCATATGCAATTCTTTAAACCTTTTTTACCTCCACAAATACCTTTAAAGCAGGATATCATTTAATAGATGGAATTGTTAAGTAATTACCTGCAGTCACTGCTAAATTCAAGAGCTACACAAAATCCAGAATATACTGTCTGGTCTTAAATTGTCTTTATGTATATTTTGATTCTGTGATTAATAGAAGGGATTACAAGTCATTCAGATAAAAGTTCATACTTAACAAGAATATTTAAGAAAGGGATTCAGTCTTTTCCAATGTTTAGCAGCTTTCCTTATCAGGAAGTTCTTATTTCCCATTTACAGATTGCTGATGAGGTAATGATCCTTTAAACCCTTTACCTTTATTACATTTTTTGGGATGAACCCTAGAAGGAGTTGGGAAGAGAAACCGTTTGTTCAGTCTCTTTCTGGCCTTAATCTCTCTGCCATCATACTCTGTGGCCTGCCTCATCCAAAACCTAGTCACGAGGTTTGAAACCAGTCGAAACTCAAGCTTAATATCCCATCTTGCAGGTTTTTTACATTTTAAGAAACTGGGCATATTAGTTAAATTAGTAAAATACTATAGAATTCTTGTAAGCAAAGGGGAGGGAGGGAGTATATTTCAGGGGAATATCATGCCTCTTAGGCCCTTTAGATCACTGGGTGGCTTTAGGCTGGACAAGTGATATTCTCCAACAGTGTAATCTTGAGATTAAGATCGTTTTTCTTAATGTTTCCATATGTGCCCCATTTGTCAATGAATTCATCATTTGCCCTAAACAGTAAGATTTGTCAGTTTGGTGTAATGAAGGCTGAGACTGATTTCTATCTCTTTAATACCACTCTCACCAGAAGAGTAGCCGCCTTGAATCATGTGGGCAAATAACCTCCCAGAAAGAGTAAACTCACAAGGACTGTATTTAGATGTGCTGGCGGATTATGGAACTGGTTTTGGATTAGCCTTTTATTTTCATTGTTTATTGAGGCAGTTGTGAAAACTCCGATCATTGAAATAGTGGTGTGTCCTTTACTAGTTCAAAGGTTTTACATCATTTTTATGCAGTTGAATTCCAAAAGAGAAATCGTTCTCTTTTAACTGTCATCAACTTTTATTGGCTATCAGCTTTTGACAATGACCTTTCTGTTCACGTTTAGTCCTGTCTCTGTTTCTTGAGGAAGTAGAACCTGTCATTTTTTCATCTTTCATTTTTTTTAAATGTATCCTTTCCAAGAGAGGGCTCTCTGTTGCCTGTTCTGAGTGATAAGTGACAATTTCATCTAATAAACATGGGGTTGGAATGATCACGGTGAAATCCTAGGAGGATATATTCTGTTGATGGACTTTTTCTCCCCAAATAATCCCAAAATAGATTATTTCCTAGTGAATGATTATCTTCATTCTTTTTGTCACAAAAGTGTTCCTTTGATTTCTAGCACAAGTTACAGCAGTATGCAAATGATTCTCAGATAAAATGATGTTGACAGTATTTCCTTAACAATTTGTGTAAAACCTATGCGTAATTCTCATTATTCTAACTTTTGACTTTTTTTCTCTCCATAAATAAAAATAATGCCTGATGTTTAGTTAAAGTAGATCCACTTTTGCTTGATTTTGTTAGTCTTGTTCCATCCTATTTCTTTTTAACACATTGTTTCGACTTGCCAACAACTCTTTACTGAGAATCTCTTTTCCTTCCCAGGCTGATAAATAATTGTCAGGGGGGAGGGGGAACATTGAGAGGAATAATTTGAGTACTTTGTTCATTGTTGAAGCTGAAAGGACCCCTGCTTGTCCTGATGTGCTCAGGCTTTGCCTGTACCATACCATCTTTGGATTCTGATGAGATTGTATAGTGGGTCTCAGAAGTACTAGGGCAAACACTTGATTTTTGTGGCATTTCAGCAAGCGTGAGAAAGATCAAGAGAAAAACTAGAAATCCAGGTGCATTCACTAGAATACGGGATTTGCTGAGTCAGAAGACTACTTGGATATGCTAGCGCCCTGAGGGAACTATATTTTGTCCTACAGTGATGAGAAAGCGAGGCAACAACTGGGGGGAAATCAAGATGTATCATTTATTTTACTTTCATGATCTTTCTAAGTCTCCCCAGAAGTAGAAGCCTGAATTTTTAAAAATCCACATCAACTAAAAATGAGCTGAAGGAGAAGTCAAAAACAACATGGAGAATATTAGTTTCCTTTGTAGTTATGGAATACTCCCCTTTCTCAGGATACGCGACAAGAAACTGGAAAGCTTCTGAAGCCATAGAAACTAGGCTAGAAGGAATGCTTGTTCTAGGCCGCAGTGGATGCTTGTTGCTAGAGAGATGCTGATACATATTTATCTGAATTCTATCAAAAAAATACTGTCCTACCTGTGTCAGGTTCTCTCAGGAAAAAGAAGAATGGCCGATCTGCTTTAAAAAAAGGAATCCGAGACCTTTTCAGTAACAACAGAGCTGCAGGAGAGAGAATAGAAGAATCCCATTGCATTTTCTATTCATTTGAGGAAAGTCACTATTAAAATTGGATATGAAGTCAGTTATATCCCTTGATTTTTGAAGAAATAAAAGCATCCTAATGATATTTCATTGTTTAGTGTTATGATGGGGGTACAAATGGGAAAATTAAGAAGATGTCATTTAGCCAAACTTGTGTCCCATTTTCAAAATACTCCATGGAATAAATTCCTTACTAAAGGTAATTTTCAGAAAGACTCCATTCCTTGTTTATGGGGATGGTGGGACAAATCCTTTTCAAAATGGATTTCTTTGCTCCCATCAGTTTTCAAACTTTGCTCTGTGTTAACATTTCTTTTTAAAAAAATGCTATACCACATCTGGACTTAGGATTTTTTAGTGGGAAGGTTTAGAAATGTGAAGATTGAACTGGATAAATCTGACGAAGGCAGATAGGGGCAAGCAGCGTGACTGAGTGCTACTGACCCCTTTGTGAACATACCTGTGGCTGTAGATGCCTTGGTGCCTTCCTCTGAAACCTCAATCTTGGCTTTGTGGATTGCTTCAGAAACATAAAAGCCATCTTGGCCTAATCCCAGGAAATAAAAATGTGAATTGCTTATTTCCATTTTTAATGCATTTAGCTTAAGGATTTGAGTGTAGTTTTAAAGAATGCACTTAACTTAATTACAGTCTCATGCTGCTTTACTATAGCCAGGGAGATATCTGGAAAATTTTTAAGCTGCAGTATTTTATGTAACTTTTAAAACCTCAGATTTGGTGAATTTAATAAATAATCCCTCCCAAATTAATAGAGCTGTGCCCTGTTTTTTCAGTAGTTTTCAAAAATAATTTCTAGTTAATATCAAAATTTTTCCTTCAGCCAGTATTTTTTAAACTTTGGTGGTATAAGAATTGCCAGAGTTTATGTCAAAATGGATTCTGGAGTCCAAGAATAATCATTTTTCAGCCAGCTTCTGAGATGATGTCCCTTGAATTCCTTCTTGGACTGCATTTTGAGAGCCACTTTTAAATGACAGTCACAGGTTTGTACTATGGACCTTAAAAGGCATAACTCAATGTACTAAAAATGTGTCCAATACTGCATGACTGCATTCAGTCATGCAATTAATTTGCCCCATGGGGGCAAATCTGCAAAGATGATAAGAGGTTAGAACTATAATAGTTGTGCGCTAACAGTTTCACAGAAGCTTAGCAAACGGGAATATGAATGATTAAGTTAGAGGAATTGATAGCTTTTTGTAATTTAACCATTAATCATTTTTGAACTACTCTCCACAGTGACATGGTACGTGACCTGATAACGAAGGAAAATAATCTTTAGAACTAGCAGAAAGCTTAGCTAGTTATAGCTACCCTTTCATTTGAGAATGAGCTGTTACCTGAGGTCACACACTTGATAAGAAGTAGATTGGGCATTTGGAGGTTTTCTGACAGTGCAGCACCCATTTCCACCCCACCCCGCCACAAAAAAACACCACTTTGTATTTTAGTCAACTCTAGGCAACTCTAGCATGCCATTGGAAAGGGATCTGTGGCATAAGTCTTAAAATAATTATTTCAGTATACATGTATTTTGAGAGAGCTTTTTTGTTTCATCTTAGACTAAATTGTTTTGCATTTTTCGTGCACATACAAGGAGATGCAAATGAATGTCGTGAGAGACTTAAAACCAGCCAAGTATAGGATATGCAGCAATAAGGTACACAGGAAATTGTGAGTTGGCTATATTTGTTGTAAGAAACAGTTATTTTCCAGCATCATTGAAGGGGACCAGACAAGGGCCATAGGATGGGAAAAATCAATGGGAAATTTCATCTGGTATCATTTGTCCTAAAACCACTGAAGGATCTGGTTTTAGCAGTTGGTCTTTTTCTGTAGGATCTTTTAGAAAAGAAATTTCTCTCTAGTTCAGTTTCTCACTAGCTTATTGAGCAAACTGAAAGAAATGCAGTGCTCAAATTAGAATTTGTGGATAAATAATGGTTCTCTGATGGTCATTAGGTTTTACTTATCTGTGACCTCATTACTGTGGTGTGGTATCTGAACATTTCAAATGTGTCAGTGAAGTCAGCAGAGGTTCACTATGAAACTCTCTACCAGATACAGTATACGTGGTTGTGTTAGAGTCCAGGCACTTTGACACAATGTGAAAAATAAGACCAAATGGTACGAATGAGTCTTCAGTTAGATAGGCTTGGCTATTAAAATTTCTTGAGGAGTTTCATTTAAATAGCTTTTCTCCATCACACTACAGGAGTGGTCCAATAATTGACAATCACATGCACGGCCATTGAGCCAAGACCCACGGCCTGTCTTGCCGCAGCATCCATACCTCTCTTAAATTTTATCTCTGGGGAGAGTTAAACATTTCAGAAGACCAACATTTGTGATCAAAATAAGAATTCGGGAGTCATTGTAGGTTTGTGTTTCTCTTCTTGCTTGATCTTGTATTACAGATCTATTTGCTTACTTTCGTCAAGTAGATATTGAAATGTTATGCAACTAATGAAAGCGAGGTAGAAGAATCCAAGCATAAAGGGATTCTCCGGCTTTGGGTTCATTTTCTACTGTGCTGGCAGCTACTTAGTGCCATTGAGGGTCATACAACAACAATCCCAAGATTGTTTATAGGTGCTATGCTATAAAAAGGGATCCATGATTAAAACGGGAAATGCAGGTTGCATAGTTTTGTGTTTTTGTTTTTAGTAGTGGACTTCTTAGAGCTGCTTATATGCTAATGTTTGTAGTGAATCTCTGCAGGAGGACTATAATATGTAATGTTTAACCATGGAACGACCTGCAACATCTCCTGTCTCTAGATTTACCAGATTAGCATTCTGGAAAACTGTAGCCCGTCATAAACACATTTGCTCCTATCTTACATTTTAATATCCAAAGCAAAGTGTTAAGCTTCTTCTTACCCTCCTTCCTGGCATACTCTCCATTCTTCCATAATATCTACAAGTATTCATGTCAACCTTTCTTTCTGGATTGTTAGCTCCTAGAAGGCAGAAGCTGTTTTATTAATTTCAAATATTTTTTACTTCGCCTAACTAGCATAATAATGCTTGGTACATAATTGTGTTCCGTAAATGTTGGATGAATGAATAATAGACACTCCTCACATTGTACATTTGTTTCATTTCCCCTTAAAAAGAGCTGCCTTAATGTTCTTTAATCTGATTTCACTTGTAAGGAAATGTTGGTTGGTATCTATAGAATCATAGGGGTGCAACACAGAATGGGTCTTCGGCAAGTTTTATCCAAATGATTGTTTCACTTCCTCTTTCCCCTTTGTTAGTGGAGACCATCATTTTTTGTGTGTGGTAGATTATACTCTCAAAAGGTTTAAGAGTCTTCATAATGACAGTGTGTAAACACAAGATTTGCAAAACGTAAATCAATGTCCCAACATCTGATCCTCAGCTTCTCAAAATGCAGGATAAACATTATTTGCCCTGTCATTTGTCTTTCCAATTATTATTACTTACTATTGGCAAATTTAGTGGCTTTATTGCCAGAATCTGCTTCTAGTTTATCTTTCTCATCTTCTTATCACTTAGTTGTAACAGATGGAGTGTGTCACATAGCACCCAGCCCCGGATATATAGAGAGAATGCTAAAAAGAATTTGAAATGGCCTCTGAAGCCAGGCTGTGGTCAGTTGCTTTCTCTATTCTCCTCAAGCCCACTTCTCCCTGCCACCCCAGCTTTTTGAGATATCGTTGATATAACACTGTGTAATTTTAAGGTGTATAATGTGATGATTTGACATATGTATATATTACAAAATGATCACCACAGTAAGATGAGTTAACACGTCCATCACCTCACATAGTTACAATTTATGTGTGTATTGTATTTATTGTCTTTGCAACTTTCATATATATAATACAGCATTGTTAACTAGAGTCACCATTCTGTACATTACATCCCTAGGACTTGTAATTGGAAGTTTGTACCCTTTGACCACCTTCACCCAACCCCCCAACTCCGCCCCCTCCCTGCCCCTGGCAACTATCAGTCTACTCTGTGTTTCTGTGAGTTTGATTTTTTTAGATTCCACATGAAGTGAGATCATACAGTGTCTTTCTCTCTGGTTTATTTCACTTAGCATAATGCCCTCAAGGTTTTTCTATGTTGTTGCAAATAGCAGGATTTCCTTCTTTTTTATAGCTAAATAATATTCTATCAAAATATACATACCGCAGCTTCTCTATCTATTCAACCGCTGATGGACACTTAGTTTTTTTTCATATCTTAGGCTATTGTACATAATGCTACCATCAACATGGGGTGCAGTTATTTCTTTGATAGTGATTTAATTTCCTTTGGGCACATACTCAGAAGTAGAATTGTTGGATAATGTGGTAGTTCTACTTTTATTTTTTAAGAAACCTCCATAGGGCTTTCCATAATCGTTGGACCAATATACATTCCCGTGAACAGAGTACAATGTTCCTTTTCTCCACATCCTTGTCAACGTTTGTTATCTCTTGTCTTTTTGATAATAGCCATTCTAACAGGTATGACGTGATATCTCGCTGTGCTTTTGATTTGCTTTTCTCTGATGATTAGTGATGATCAGCACCTTTTCATGTACCTGTTGGTTATTTGAATATCATATTTGGAAAAACGTTTATTCAGATCCTCTGTCCATTTAAAAATCAGATCGTTATTATTTGCAATTAGGTTGTATGAGTTCCTTATACATTTTGGATATTCATCCCTTAGATATGTGGTTTACAAATATTTTCTCCCATTCTGTAGGTTTCCTTTTCATTTTGTTATTTCTTTTGCTATGAAGACACTTTTAGTTTGATGTAGTCCCACTTGTTTATTTTTGCTTTTGTTGCTAATACTTTTGGTGTCAGATCCAAAAAATCATTGCCAAGACCAATTTCAAGGAGCTTTTCTCCAAGGTTTCTTCTAAGAGTTTTATGGCTTCAGACATTTTAAGTCTTTAATCCATTTTGAGTTAATTTTTGTGAGTAAGATATGGGTCCAGTTTCATTCTTTTGCATGTGACTATCCAGTTTCCCCAACACCATTCATTGAAAAGACTATCTTTTCCCCATGGAATATTATTGGCTTCTTTGTCAAATATTAGTTGACTGTATATGCATGGATTTAGTTCTGGGGTCTTGATTCTATCCCATTTGCCTACATGTCTGTTTTTATGCCTGTACCATACTGTTTTGCTTACTATAGCTTTGTAATAGAGTTTGAACTCAGGAAGTGTGATGCCTCCAGCTTTGTTCTTTCTCAGGATTGTTTTGGCTATTTGGGGTCTTCTGTGGTTCCATACAAATTTTAGAGTTGTTTTTTTCTATTTCTGTGGAGAATGCCATTGGAATTTTGATAGGGAGTGCATTGAATCTGAGGGTTGATTTCAGTAGTATAGACCCTTTAACAATATTAATTCTTCCAATCCATAAACAGAGGATGTTTTCCCATTTATGTGTGTCTTTTTCAATTTCTTTCATCAGTGTGTTGTAGTTTTCAATGTAGAGATATTTCACTTCACTTGGTTAAATTTATTCCTAAGTATTTTATTGTTTCTGAT